GCAGCTGGAGAGCAATCTGGTCTCGAGGACCTTGAGGGGCCAGGCTGGGGATGTGATCTCTACATGGACGTCTCGTTGGAGGCTGGTGGGATGTTCTACACGCGGGGTACTGAGCCTAACCAAGCAGAGAGTGGAGCATCTAAGGCCAGAAGTCGGTGCCGCTGTGGCTTGCTCCGTGACCTGTGTGTCCCGAGGAAGCACCCTGACTGGGCGTAGACGTGACACACCCACCAAAACCACAACCAAACCCGTGCAGCTGAGTCCAGTCCAGTCCACAGCCGAGCCCAGGGAGCCGCTTCACAGAGCGCCACGATGCGGACACAGACTGCACCCCTTCCCTCTCCATCAGACGAATGCCTGGGCGTGAACCCCCTACCTCTAGTCGGCAGCCGAATGCTGTGAGCAGGGTGCCACACAGGGCCTCGAAAAGGCTCTGCTCGGGACGTGCTCTGGCCTTTCCAGTCTCCGGGCTAGGCAGGGCTCTAAGGGTCTGCAGCAGCAGACACAGGCACTTCTGGGTGACATCCCCCACCTTCCCCGCTCAGAGACCAATGCTCCTCTCACCCCAGAGGCCTCTGTGACCCACCACAACTGGCCCCGCTCTCCCCAGGAGCTGGAGCCTGAGCCCGAGAGAAACTTCCATGAAGCCACGAGACGTGGAGGAGGGAACAGAAGGCCTGTTGGTACAAATGGCAGCCACACAGCACAGCCTGAGCAGTCATGGAGGAGGTGGTCAGTTGGGCATCAAGCACTCACCTGTCCCTTCCTCCAGATCTGTCCACAGCTCTGTTCTCTAATCCCCTCCCTCCGTCCTTCCTGTCTACTTCCCTGTCCTCTAAGAATTACAACCCCTCCTGTCCAGATGGCCTTTCTCGCCTAACCACACAGTCCTGCTTGCCCATGTCTCATCCTCGCCCCCCTTTAGTCAGTGTCCCCTGTGCTTTCTGAAGGCGCTGTCCCCTGACTCTGGCATGGAGGAAAAGAGGACAAGCACACACTCAGCAGATGGCCGTGACTGGGACGGTCACAAGGAGGAAGGAAAGAGAGAGAAGCCACCCGTTCCAGGGCAGACGGGGCTCTCTTGGGTGAACCGAGGGGAAGATGACGCCCCGAGGAGGAGAAATCAGGGTGGGCAGCTTGGGGGAGCTACGGCGGGGGGAGGGAGGGGTTGATAAGCAGTTCTGGTTGTTGAATACAAAGTTGATGACCTGAAATGTAAACCATCACCTGATTTACAAGAATAAAAAAAAAAAAAAGTTTGTTTCAAAATGCTAACAACACAGCAAATGTTCTGGCACTGTTCACTGACTTGAACAGTTACTTAGTTTATGAATTAAATCCAATATGTAAGTGGTCTGAGGTTGGATCAACTAAACTTAGTGTTGTATATGACAAAATAAAAATAATTTATAAATTATCAAGGGTTCATGAGGGAGGGGGGAG